CTGCTAGGAAGTACCTTTCCAAGGCTCAGGTTTTAGCCAATTCTATTCATTAAATAGGAGGTCAAATGGCAGACTGTTAAGCAATTTTAAGCCACCTCGCTTATCAAATACAGTAGAATTAAACAAGCTTTCAGCACATCTTCAGAGTGAAGAAAGGTATAAATAAAAAATGTTTCACCTTCCAGGTGGCACTTAACAGATTTCAAATATAATTAGCACTTTCTAAAATGACTACATAAATCCCAAACTGAAGTTGCAAAGCCTGAAACCCATTAATCTTACACATATGAAAAATGTCTTAAACAATTTTTTAAAGCGCAAACACATTTTCAGGAACTGGTGACTGAAGAAGAGAATGTAGGAAAAAATATGTTGAAAATATAAGTAAAAAAAAAAATGTCCATAATACAAGAATGTAAGAGTTGTTGTATTAGGCTGCACCACAGGTCCACCTAGAAGAATGTCTGGTCTCCAAAGAGGCCAAATGGATGCCTGGGAAAGACTATAAGGAGAGATCAAGCACATGTTTCCCAAGTACTCCAACCACTGGTGGCTCAAGGACTTCCTGAGCCCAATGCGGTTTCCATGTAGTATGTAAACCTCAGCAAATTTGTTTTCATGAACTTGCTCACCTTGCTCCTGATCTCCACAACTGCTTGTCACATACGGCATGCCACGATACACAGGCCCAGAGCTAACTCAGTGCGGTATGAGGAATGATTCCCACCTGTCTGGCTCCAGCCTGCTTCTTGACAACCAGATTCCCCTCAACTTTTGCACTGGAACTGATCAATAATATTGACTCTTACTGTTCACCTTTTCCCATATCACACATATTTTGCATATTCATCATGTTCTCACTCAGTTTTTTCCTGACTGAAGTATCCTTGCTTATGCATTCCCTCCATGTAAACTATTGCATGTCTTCAATGAATTCTGTTGCTCTTCTCTGAACCTTTGCTTGTTTTCTTATCTATAGAATAGCAAGTAAGAATTGCAGTTATTCAAAATAGAGACACTACAGATTTATACATAATGGGATAATGATGTCTCCAGTCCTTTCCTAAGAGTTCCCAATATTTTATTTGCTTTTTTGACCACAAATACACATTAAGCTGATATTTTTACGGAAAGGTATCTAAGACAGCCCTAAGATCTCTTTCTAACACATACTGATATCGCTAACCTTTTTCTGCAGCAAAGTTTTCTTAAAAACAAACCAAAACCAAACAAAACCCCTGAAATCCCACCCATTAAGTATTCAGCAATAACCATCACCTTTCAAAGAGGAAAGGTAAAGAGTGATCTCTAGCAGGCTGATTTGTTTCTTTAAATGTTACAGTACATATAAATCACCATGAGGAAAGTACATATTCACTGGAGAAGCTTGTTTGTTGCATTACTGGTGAGCTTATTAGCCTTCCTGAACCAGCAGACTAAAAAATCCAGCAAAGGATTCTAAAGTTGAGTCTTAAGGCCTTGAATGTCCCCCTGCAAAGGAGAAAAAACCCTGGTTTCCTTAAACCTCTAAAAAAAAACCAAGTGATCTGCAAGAGGTCAGACTGTGAGCGTATTCATCATTGCTTTCTTGCTTCTAATTATTTTGAAACCTGACTCTATCCAGAAAAAAATACAGAAAAGGCCACAGCTTCCCACAATCACTTTGATGAATGATACATCTATTTATCAATTTCTGTTCTGGCCAGGTCTGATAAAGTGTTTCATTTTCTGACAAGAGATGAAATAGACACAATGATCTGCCAGGCAAACATCGTAACATGTTCTGAAGTAGAAACACTTTTAGTTGGAGACAACTACATTCATGATCTTAAACTAACCCGTTACTATAAATACATGATGAAAGACATAAATATAGTAAAATAAAGGTAAATGTAATTATCTACTAAAAATAAATTATTATAATAAAAGCGGATTTCCTGACAAGTATTTGGTTGGATGCCTTTTGGTACTACAATTACTCCTCCCACTGACCAGGCAAATGTACATACAACCTATCAGACAAAGATGATGAACAGCACCTTATCTTATTTATACACAGGATGACAGAAACTGAAATTAGCTAGTAATAAATACTAATATTTTAGCCATGTTGCCAGCTTGTTTCCTGTGAATGGTCCTGAGCAAGTCATACCACAGCACAACTCCACTTTGCCAGAATTTGAGACGACTGAAAAATATCAGCCATGTAACAGTTGCAGTTAATATGGGTCAGAACACAGAGACAGAAAAGAATTACAATGAATTATCAGTCAATGTAAGAGAAAAAAGTAACGAAGTGTATGAGTCCAACCCTCCTCCCTTACACACACAGCTTGCAGTAATGAAGCAGCTCTAAAAGATGCTCCTGTGTGCTTTAAATAGATGGCATGTGGAGAGGCAGCCCTTCCCATGGAGTGGTACAGCAGGGGATCCTGTCAAAGCCTGGTGGTTAACCCCCTGCAGACAGGCTCTGGGCACCACCTGAGAAGCGCCTCTTCTCCAGTGACTATCTGGACAACTTACACACTTGATTTGGTTTGACTGCTTGTTAGGTGTAACTAGGTGGAGGGCCTCTATTCAAGTAACAATTACATAGTTTTTAAATTAACTAATATGTCCCAGGATATTAAAGAAGGATGGCAAGGTCAGAGAAATTAGTAAGACTATCTGATAGAGATGGTAAAAGAATTGTTTTTACTGAAAAAGTTACCTAGCATATAAAAACTAATGACTGGCATTTTGATAAATCACATAATTCTCAGAAGAAAAAGTATGTAAGTGATCAATAACAGGATGCTGATATCCCATCTTTATTGTTTCTGTCTCCCAAACCACTTTCCTATTTCTTTTGATGCATTAGCACTTTTACTTTCTATAAACACATTTTGGGAATTTTTCTTCTCTACTTTTTGGTTCTTTTTCTTCCTTTCTGCAAGCCCACACACTACAGCTATGCATGCTAATACTTTTCCAAAGAAAGAGCAAACTACCCAGCCTTCCTCTCAAGGCTTGTCTGTTAACCCCTAATGCTCTTCATGCAAGTAAAAAACATCTCCTCCACCCCAACTCCCCCCAAAAACCCACAAAACCAGCCAAACAACAAAAAACAAAAAACAAACCCAACACAGAAAAACTCGCAAAATAACTACCATTTTTCTTTCCCATCAAGTTCTTTAACACCCTTCATCCACCAGGTCATTTTATCTAAGAAAATCTGCAGAAGTGGACAGTAAATTGTTTTGGGCACACTATAGAGGCACTTTTGTAATCCATATCTGTCATAAATAATACATATTTAATATATATTATATATACATATATGTGATTCATTTAAGAAATGCATGGATACAAAAATGACTGTTGTCTTTAGATCAAGATAAAAAGGAAACAGACCCCAAACATCCTGCTGCAACTGCGACAACACACTTGGGCACTGAACAAATATCTCGAGAGAAATGTATGTTTTCTGCTAAAGAAAATACATTATCCTTAATTCAGAAATGGGAAAAAAAAGTCAACACTGTGCGATTTTAAGAACTGGTCTTTCAGAGAACATATACTGTGGTGCATAAACAGATTTGAAAATAAGACACACAGAGAACACCTTATACCAACAATTCACAAGTTCATCAGCTGATCTCTAACTCCACACTGATGGTTAAATGTAAAGGAAAATTATTGATAAATTTACTCTTAAAAAATGAATTTGCTTTGATTCAACTAAAACAGTCTATAAGAAAAGCCCTGAATATAATGAGCATTATTAGAGTTCAACAATGTGATTTACTTTGAAATCAAATTCTAGAACTGCGTGGAGACCTCGTAGCAGTCTTCCAGTATCTGAAGGGAGCCTATAAAGATGCTGGAGAGGGACTCTTCATTAGGGACTGTAGTGATAGGACAAGGAGTAATAAGTTAAAACTTAAACAGGGGAAGTTCAGATTGGATATAAAGAGGAAGCTCTTAACTGTAATGGTGGTGAGGCACTGGAATGAGTTGCTCAGCGAACTGTGAATGCTCCATCCCTGGCAGTGTTCAAGGCCAGGCTGGACAAAGCCTTGGGTGACATGGTTTAGTGGGAGGTGTCCCTGCCCATGGCAGGGGGGTTAGAACTTGATGATCTTAAGGTCCTTTGCAACCCTAACTGTTGTATGATTCTATGAATTCAAAAGCAAAATCATTTCATAAGCAGGTAAACCCTTTCCATTCTGCCAACATAAGGACGCCGGTTAAGTTCCAATTGCCTTAAGAGGTTACAGCCAAGGCAGGACGACATGTTAAAATTCAAAGTGCGTGCTGGTGAAGCACATGCTGGTGAAACCAAGGGCTCCACCTTTGAACTGCAGAGCCACAGCACACCATCAAATGCCACAGGAATTTTTAAGATTGTTCACTCACTCCCAGTGAATGGTGCTGGGCTGAGAGAAATCGAGGCCCGCCCCCCAGGGCTCTCCCCTTCCCTGCTCCCGGAGGAACGGGGAGGAGGATCGAAAGAGTGCAACTCCCATGGGTTGAGACAAGAACAGTCCAGCAACCAATGTACAACACAAATCACCACCGCTACCACCAACGACAACAATGATAAGAGAAAATAACAAGGGAGGACAACAGAATACCACCAGCCAAGAAACGAGTCCCACCCGGAAGCCCGTGTCCTTCCACGTAACTCCCAGTTACCCCCCACCCCGGGCATGACGTGCTGTGGTATGGAATACCTCCTTGGCTAGCCTGGGTCAGGTGCCCCGTCTCTGCTTCCTCACAGCTTCCCCTCCTCCCTGGCAGAGCATGAGCCTCACAAAGTCCTTGGTCAGGGTAAACATCACTTAGCAACAACCAAAAACATCGGTATCACCAGCACTGTTCCCAGGCTGGAAGTCAAAACACACCACTGCATCAGCTACCATGAAGGAGAAACATGACTGCTATTGCTGAACCCAGAACACCAACACTTCTCAGGAGCATTATCAAGAGAGAGATCAAGATAAAGAGATTATATTTACCTGCCAACAAACGGCTCCCAAAACAGCAGTCGCGACAAGGCTGAAAAATACTAGCTGCTGTGAAATCAAACAGAAGTGACGCATTCCTTTAGATGCCATAACTCTGTCAAGACTGTTGTTTTCTGCACGGTGGGTATAGTACACCTTGTGGCAGTCATTTAGTTTTGTGTGAAATCCCCAAAGAGTTATAAAAAAGATCACATGACAAATCATCCAGAAAATTCCAAAAATAGAAAAACCAGGTACCACAAAATACCAGAGATCCAAATCACGCAGTTTAAAGGCTGAAAGAATGAAAAAGGTGAATTCGATGACTCCAACTAAGATGACAGAAAGCCTTCTGCAGATTTTACCACGGTATAAGTAGGGCTTCCATCGTTCAGTAACTGAAAGTCCACTGAAGTAAACATCAAGAAGGGGATTTGAAATCAGGCAGCTAAAGAAACATGACAAGGCGAAAGGGTTTGTGGGGATTTGCAGTGATGGAAAAAAGAGTAAGGATGCAATGGCTCCAAAAATTGCCAAATTTGGAATTGCCAAGAAAGACTTCATACGTAAGTCAATAATCAACATGGCCAAAGCTACAACCAGCAGAATAATGCTTCCAGATTCTTCTACTAGCATAGTTGTGCTGGCAATTGCAAACCCAACTAGCTCCAAAAATTCAACTGGTGTCAGCAGAGTTGGCTGATGATGGATACAACCACAAATCCTCTCAACCAAAGCATATAATATCCTTAAAACTATGGCGGAGAGGAGCAAGTATTTTGTAGCTTCTTCTTTCACATCCCTTTTGAATGCGGAATTATTAAGGAAACAGAGGAGGCCAAGCAAAAAACCAAACCAGAGATTAGAAAGACTCAGACTTGCTGTTTCCATTGAAAAATAGTAATACAGTATGCTGGCAATTCCAAGAACAAAGAGCCCCAGAATAAATATTACCAAAATCAGTGCATCTGACGTTTTTTCCCATCTGACATAAAGGCCCATGCAAATGGCAACCAAGAGGTTGATTCTGGAGAGATAGCCAAGGTATCTGACTGATGAGTGCATGTTCACTTCTCTGTTTGCTTCTTCTAGCCTTGTCATTGCTGCATAGAGACAATGACTAACACAGTAACGCAGTGATCTACACATGTAAACTGCAGTTAGGGGGTTTTATCCGCTTGACTGAAAGTAAATACTTGGGTTTCATCCAACAAACACAGTGCAATCACTGCCTTCTGTAGTATCATTTCAGTAACAGTAGTCCAGAATCACTGAAGTCCTGGAAGAAGAATGAAAAATGCTTTAGTGGCAAAATAATTCCTTTTAATTATATACTGCATAAATATGACACATCCTTTCTCACCAAAGAGTTTTTATCTAAATTAAGAAACATATAACAAAGAGAAACAAAGTGTATTGTTACAGTTCACTCATATTGGGGTCATTATTAAAACCAGTATTTGAGCAACCATTCTATGACTTTCAATTCTCCAAGCCACTTTTTTTTCCCCCACAAAAACCCCCAAATTTATTTTATTTAAAACATAAGCACCTCCTACTCAGATCCACTTAAAACCAACATGCTTTTTGTTTTAATATAGTAAAGGAACAGATACTAGTATTTTTAGGGGAATTTTGTAAGAAATGGCTAGGCAGATTTCACTGACACCCACTGTAAAACCACCCTAAGTGGTGTAGAGACAAACCAGACCTAAGAAACACTTTTATTTAAATTACTGAAGTTTGGTAACATTGAACTACACATTAAAAATCTGTTTAATTGAAATACAATACATACCATATACTTAAAAGCGAACAGTTATTACATGATGCTATTTCAAGTTAAAGTTCCCTGGATTTTAACTATGTGTTTTCTTAGTACTCATCATTATTGTTTTATATATATATGAGCTTAATTCTGTGTCCTGTCCATGGCTTAAACCTCAACATGCTGAGTAGCCAGCATGTTCAAGATCTCGCAATATTTTCCTCCTCACTTGGTATACTCACTGTTCCTTTCAACCTTTTATTTGTTTCTACTTTATGTAGATAACACAGCCCAAAGCTGTTACCACATTCCACAAGATTATCAGGTATCATAGCACTGTCTGCAATCTCACATTTTTGTGCTACAATGAACATTCGCTTTACAGACAACTCGAGCAATTTATTTCAACTCCTACACAAGCCCTCTCCCTGCCCGCAGCTATCTCTTGTTCAAACCATGAACACAGAGAAACAGTTTCCCACCTCCTGCCAACCCACAGCACTGGTGCATGACTACCGCTACACTGAAGCACATCAGCCATGCCATTCTGTTATCTTGGTTCCTGAGCCTCTCTGGAACCCCTCCAAGTCAAGGGGCAAACAGCATAAACATTCATTTAGACAACAGCCTCACAGAGGTCAGCAACCTGGCGCATATGCAAAGGGCAGAGGCTCCTGCCTAATGCCTGCTTTACAATTCTGCTATGGTGGCTGAATCATTTTCTGGTGGGATCCTTACACCAGCAAACTCCCTGCAGACAAGCAGCCACTCTGACGGAAAACTACTGTGATCACCTCAGCTCGTGCCAAGGGGAGTCTTGCTGCCATCACACCACAAGAAACACGAGAGGGAAGCTCTTCTGATACTGCCCCATGTGCCACACCAGGTGCCGTGGTAGGAAGGCACCACGTCTGCTTGAACACAAGGTATATGCAAAATGACAGCCTGGGCTGTGAATGCAACCTCCGCTTCCTGGAGACACCTTCTAGCCAATTAGCAAACCATGCTATTCACCACTCGTGTTCTTCTAACTGAAACACACGGTCAACTTTTTGGTGAAGAGGAAGAGAAGCGTTTTCATGATTATGTATCCCATCACACAGCTATTACCAAATAAACGTAACACAGCGATTCAGACAATGTAAATGGGAAGTTTCAATATCTGATTTCTTCTTTAAAACACAGCTATCTGTTAAGACCGACAGTTTAGACTGTTAAAAGTCGGGGGGGAGGGAGGGCGTTGTATTTACTTGGTTTTCAAACTAATGGCCTTTCAGTTTTTAGATTGCAACATCCTAGTTGCACACCTGAGCTAACTACTTTCAGATCCAAAACGGAATCTGTATGCCCATTTTTAAATATGTGTCAGCTATTGCAAACAGAATTTTAAGCAAAACTGAGAGTCTAAGTAGAGACTGAACTACCCCAGGGTATTCCTATACATAAAGGACTGCCATTCCCGACGTAGTTTTTACCCTAATTTATCTAAGAACATAGAAAAACAAACCAAAACTCAAAGACGGTTTGGTTTGGTAGTTTAAGTGCAGCTGACTTCAAGTCCAGGTGAGATCAATCCAAAATACTGGATTCACTTTCCTCCATCTTTTTTCTTCCAGTTTAACATGCGGTTTTTTTTTTTTTTTTTTAACAAAAACTCTTGTTTAGTTAATTAATGCCCCAGGCTTACATCTCAGTGAACGACGCCAGTAGCTCCCAGATGCTGATGCCGGGCCCACGTTCCGGGTTACCGGTGTCAGACATAGAGAGACCACTTCCCAAGCACTAGCTGCTGGTCGAACCCGCCCGGTAAGCTCCATGTCGGTGCTCGGCCAGCGGAGCGGGCGCTGCCAGCCGCGGCTCTGCCAGACCAACGCCGCGCACCGCCATGGACCCCGCTCTGTACAGCCGCCCGCTTTCCCCCGCGGTGTCCGCCAGGCCGCCCGGCTCCCCTCGCCACGCCGCGGTGACAGGGCCCTGCTCCACGCAGGGCAGACCCGGCCTCAGCCTGACGGTGCCGAGGACCGCGCCGTGGCCCCCAGCTGCTGGAGGGGGCCCGGTCCGGCCTGCACTCACCTCAACAGGCGTCCCGCAAACTTCCCTCCCCCCGCGCAGCACCGCCGCCATGTTGAGGCTGAGCGAGCGGCCCGGGTACGGGCCCCGCCGAGGCTCAAACGCCGCCGCCCGGGCGCTGCCGGAGTCTCACTCGCCGGGCCGGGAGGCGCGGCGGCAGGCGGAGCGGGCCGGCGCGGGGCTATAACAGCATAACGTCGGGAGCTCCAGCCCCATAGCTGTCGCGCTCTGGGGAATTAATTCAGCAGCATGCAGCTGACTGGCAGCAGTGAAAGCACACTGAAAGGTTGGCAGGCAGGAAGAATAAAATCATCAAAATTGTAAGTACTGTCCGCTGGTACTTGGGACACGGAAGAGGGAGAATTGTGTTTGAGTCAGGACTGCAAGGCAGATTGAACCCACATTAGCCTGGAACAGGTTACCCGGAGAAACTCCGGCTGCCCCATCCCTGGCAGCATTCAAGGCCAGGTTGGAGAGGGCTTTGAGCAACCTGGTTGAGTGGGCGGTATCCCTGCCTATGGAACTAGGTGTGCTTTAAGGTCCCTTCCGACCAAAAACCATTCTGTGATCCTTGGCTAGCAGGAGCCTGATCCTGGACTGACCTATGTGCTTCCAAAACAAAGGCTTTCGCCACCCTCGCATTTATACAGCAAGCACACTTCCTTAACCATCACTATTTTCACAACACTGTGTTTCAAAGACATGTTCTGAATTGGCCCTTGCAGGTAAGTGGGCAAGAGCAGGCAGTTCCTGGATGGTCACAGCTCCATTGCCTATGCAGGCAAAACAAGGGCAGATGGAGTTTGAATGAAGTTTAGACAGCAGCTGCAAAGGGGTTCTTTGAACTTCCAAGAGGGCTGGCCTGCTACACATTTATGGCCTTTGGTCCTGTAATCCCTTCATCCTAACCAGCCCCTTTCTCGCCCACAGTCAAGAAGCAGTAGTGCTGACTGCCGGCAGCTGGATATCCAAGGAGCTGAGCTTCAACAGGCTGTCATTATTCAGACAACTGATTCAACAGAACCTGAGCTGTCTCCAAAATCATTTTCCCTCGTCAAAACTCAGTAAAACCTCCCAACAGGCCTAAAGTTCCATGGGTTAACAACAAACAAACACAAGCACTCTGCTGCAAAGGTATTCCAAGGAGACAGAAATTAAGAACACGTAGAGAGAGAAGACAGGAACTGTCTTAAAAAAGTGGTTGCATTCCAAGCGGGCAGGCAAAGAAACATGGTACAGGTACAACTGGAGGAACTCCAGAAAGTCTCCTGTAAAGCAAAGACCACAACCGAGATGTTAAATTGGGTACTTCAGTTTCAGCTTCCACATCTTTACTATAATTCAGTTTATAAAATTAACCCAAACACAACTATTTTCTTGATAATAAGGAAAACTATGCATTGGTTTCACTGGATTTCTCCATAAGCCAATTGCACAGAAAAGAAAAGGGACATCTCCACCCCAAAGAAACAGTCTTTAAAAAGATTCAGATTTTGTATTTTTTAATAAATGTGCTTTGTTCACAAAAGGTAGTGACATAAAGACAACAGAAATGCAAATACACATGTTCCTTTTCCTCTCCAGCACCTAAGAGCAAGAGATCTCTTGCACAGTCATAATTTTCAAATACTTCATAGTCTAGAAACATTCTTCTTGCACCAAAGCCAAATATCCAACAACTCCTGATATCACCACTTTATTGTTCAGGGAGATAGAAGATTTATGTAAATCCCACTTTCTACCTACCCCCTCCACCCCTGAAAAAAAAAAAAAAAGGTAAAAAAAGGTAAAAAAAAACAAACAACAAACTAAACACACACACCCCCAAACCCCCCTTCAGGTATATAGAATGAGCAGCATAAAAACCAAGCTGTTCTGAGCTTCAGGTCCCTAAACCACAAATACTATGGTGTCACCAACCTGTCAAAAAGGCTTAGATTTTAAATGTTAATATTTTAAACTGTTTGGAGGGGATAGATCTTGGTCTTTTTTTGTATAAATCACAAAATATAATCAATGTCAACATATATGTTATCTGGTATAGAACTTGTTTTAAAAGGAGTATCAGTTAAAATGTTAGGTACACTTTGAAGTATGCACAGATTAAGTTTCCATAAACAGCTGAATTTATAGCACCAGCATTTGAACTTTAACAGGAGCACTGCTGGAGTCAGTGGTTAACTGGGAAGAAGAAAGGCTTTGAACGGCAAGCGAAGTAAAGCATTGGATGCAAATACTGACTTAGAGCCAATTTTGAAGCCATTGACGATTTCATTAGTGAAGTATTCTCTCTAAAAAATAATCAAAAAAGGTCAGCCTTAATACTTGTATGTCAAAACTTTTTTTAATACATCAGAATTGTTTGGTTTGTATATAAGGATATAATTCAGATTGAATAACAAATCTGAATCACAAATTAGGGAATGCTTTAAATTTAAGGGGAGAAACACAAAAAGCGTATGTTAAAGAATAAAGCATTACAGTCCAGATCACATTTCAAGTGTAAACTGGACCAATGGGGGATGACTATGTAGGAAGCAGTATAAAAGAAAAAAAAACCAACAAACAGGTAGGTCAAACAATGACACTTTCAGTGCAAAACTTCAATGGAAGGAGTAAGTTTCATTTTTGTAGCGACCACTGTAAATTCCACACTACAACTTCAGTAACCTCTCTATGATAAGTACAACATGGTAGGTTAATAGAGTGTAAGGTGCATTTCACCACAACCACCTTTGAAACTCTGTATTAGTATTTTCTACCATTTTGCGGAAATCAAAACCCCAATGTGGCACCTAGTTCAAATCATTTATTATTAGGCACTTACGTATAGATTTAACAGCCTAACATCCAAACCTGAAAATTCTGACCATTATTTTTAGATGGAGGGAAAGCTAAGCTAAGCTAATACTGAATCCCCTGGTTTTACCACTGAATATAATTGTTCTTTCCTGCAAAAACTCACAGATTTATTACGCAAGTTAAAAAACTTAATAGATGTAAACCACTTCTGTTCCATCTCCTGATAGCAAGGACCAGTTTTCAGACAGCTATGGAGTTTTTATTTAGCTATCCAGAAGATTTTGGGGTCCAAATAAGCAAACAAATTATGTTAACTTCACTTGTGTGGTCTGAATACACAACTTTGTGCAAATATGTGTATCCCTGAAAAACTGTAAAATTACGTTCCTTTTTACAAAATTGGTCTGTAGTTACTGTATAACTTGGGAGGTCTACAAATAAGGACAACTAAAGAAAGAGTTGCTTGTTTTTAAAATGCATAAATAATTTACTTTAAAACATAACAAACCCACCCTGTCCCCCCCAAAAACAGTTTGAAGAGAACTGGAGAAAAATACTGATATATGTCTGTGCACTCATAAAATTGCAAAACTGCAAAACCACGTTCCAGCTTTCAAGTGAAACATAATTGTCTAGATGTACCATACTCCTCTGGGGGGGATAACCTCTACAGAAATCTCATATCTAACTGCTATTTATGCAACAAAATTACACTGTATGTATAACTATGGATTAATATATTCCAGCATTGGGTGTTATCTCCATTTGGCTTTACCTCAAGAGGGCTGTAATAAACAAAATTAAATGTGCAAGCATTGTAGTTTCTCCATCTCTGGCTTAACCAGAGTGAAACAAATTTTGGGGAAAAGTTTTGCTCCATAATTATGAAGGGATACGTGTAACCAAGTGTCTTAACCTATCTGCACATTTAGTTAAAGTGCTAATTATTTCTTCCTACATATACTTCTCAGAAGCCCAGCAACTCCAGCGTCTTAAGCTCAACCACATTGGGTTAAAATATTGAAACAACGTTTAACAAATTAAATAGAATTCACACTTCACAGCACTAAAGAGAATGGTACCTTTCTGGAAAAGAATTAGTGATACAAATCTAAAGAAAGTAACAGCAATTTATGCTATGACATGAGTCATGTGCATAAAACTTGTATTTTTTCTCACTTTCATACAAGAATAAATTTTAAAATTCAAAAGTAGAAAAAAATAGCAAACTCTGTAAACCTTTGCATTTTCTTTATGCAAACCATTTTTGTGTGTTGAGCCCATGTTAGTATAGCAAAATCAGTTAAGCAAGAGTTTGACTGAAAGGGCCTTTCAACAACTACATTAACTTAGAAGCAATATAGGATCTTCTAGCTCATAGAAAGGAATTGAACTAGACTGGCTTTCTCCAGAGTCTGAGTCATAAGGAGCATCAGGTAGCTCCATAAAACCATAAGCTAGTTGTTCATCTTCTGTATCTGATCGAACATAGCAGGAAGTGTTGGAATACTCCTCCTCCTCTATACTGTTGAAATCCTGCGGGATATACAACATTCCTGGGTAGTTCCTGCTAACTAAGTCACTTGTTGTTTGCAGGGAAGTCTTCCTAAATGCCATCAGGTGCATGTGAGAAAACTTGGAATACTTGAAGCGTTTAAAACCCAAGGACTCTATGGCAATTTTCCAGCTTTTCATCATCATAGCCCGGCGATTCTGATGAGATGAATCAGGAGTTATTACAAGCAGTAAGCCGTTTAATACGAGAAGTTCATGTGCCTTCTTGCAGCATATCCATCGTTGATAGGGTGATGGAAAGTAAGAAAGGAGGAGTGAGAAAACAACAACATGGAATAGTTCTCCAGGTAGAGAATCAATAGGGTTTTTCAGTTGCTTAAGAAAGGCATCTATAGCATCTTGTGCCAGTTGGAGTGGTTGCTGAATCTGAAGATTTAAGAAGTCACATTTGTATACGCTCTAATGGAATAAGAAAAAAAAACAAATATAAAGGTTAATTTAAAGAGCAAATACAATAGATTTTCAGAAAAATCAGTGATAACTTCTCCAATCTCTTGATGAAATATTAAGCCTGTTGAACACTCCTCCTGCTGTTAAAATTCAACAATCTAAAATATCAGTTTAACATACAATGCTAGCTTTCACAGTTGCAAAGCAAAATTTTGTATGTGCAGTGATTTTCTAGAGATTTGTTAATTGAGAGCACTTACTTAAAAGAATAAAATAGAAATTTAGCTCAAGTAGAACAAAGTATCGAAACAACTTTCTAACAAATGCTTTAAGAAGTCAGATAAGCCCATACTGTTTTTTTTTTCTCCAGATGCTAGAAACC